CCAGGGGGTATGGCCATGCCACAATCCCTTCTCCTCCATTCTCCTCTCGGGATCTTGGACACGCACACACATGCGCCTGATGTGAGTTTAGGCTACAAGGTCCAGGACTTGAACTGTGTTCAGCTACATGGGAATCCAGCGACATAGCCATTACGCCAACTGCTGGTCTCTGTATTTCTTTTTCTTTTTCTTTCTTTCTCTTTCTTTCTTTTGGAGAGGTTTTTGCTATAGGGCATGTGTGCTCGCCAGAAAGACAGAGAGAAGCAGAGAGACAGAAAGTGAGAAATCACACACACACACACACACACACACACACACACACACCCCGGGTGGATGGCCATGCTGTAATCCCTTCTCCATTCTCCTCTGGGGATCTTGGGCACGCACGCACAGGCGCCTGATTCCCTTTATTTCTTTTAAAAGGGTTTTAAAAAATTATTTATTGGGACCAGCAGGTGACGTAGTGGACTTCCACATGGCCGACCACAGTTTGAGTCCCAGACCCAGCAGCTTGAATTTCACGCCAGGCCCAAAATCCTGCAAGGAGAAATGGAGAAGAGATTGTGGCATGGGCACCATCCTAGGGGGTAATTTCTCACTTGCCCTCTCACTGTCTTTATCTCTCTCCAGTGAGCATGCACATTCTAAGGCAAAAATCTCAAAAAAAAAAAAAAAAAAGAAAAAGAAAAAAGAACTAGGGGCTCACAGGTGGCATAGTAGCTAAGGTGCTGACTCCCACATGGTCAGCCGTGGTTTGAGTCCCAGACCCAATGGCTTGCTTTCTCACTCCCCTCCCCCATAACTATAGTAAGTTTAAAAATAAATGAATAAAAGAAATAATTCTTTAAAAATATATGATCTTTCTCCAATTCCTTAATCTAATTGTTATTGATAATGAATCAGGAGTATCAATTTATCAATCGTTTACTTGTGAGAAATAACCAAAAGGATTATATCAATGTACATATGCTAAGGGAAGCTGGCAGGTGGCATGGTGATTAAGAAGCTGTACTCCCACATGGCTGACTGTGGTTTGCTTTCTTAGACATCCTCTCTCTCTCTCTCTCTCTCTCTCTCTTCTTTAGTATTTCAACAGACATTCTTCTTCTTCTTCTTTTTTTTTAAAAGAGAGACTTCCTGCTATAGGGTGCATGTGCTCACCAGACAGACAGAAAGCGAGAAGTCACTCCTCAGGGGTGATGGCTATGGAACAATCCCATCTCCTCTATTCTCTTGGGATTTGGGGCCCATACACACACACATATGCCAGGTGTGAGTTTTAAGCTTCTGGATTCAGGACTTGAACTACAGTCAACTATGTTGGAGTCCAGCAATGTAACCATTACACCATCTGCTGATCCCAATAATTCCTTTTTAAAGAATTTTAAGAACTCAATTTAATGTATTACTGTTATTTTTTAATTTGACCAGAGAGAGACAAGGGGAAAGTGAGAAAGCAAGCCACCAGGACTCAAACCATAGTTCATCATGCGGGAGTTCAGCACTTTAACCACCATGCCACCCGCTGGCGCCAATAAATAATTATAAAAAAAAAAAAAGAATTAAGGAAAGCATAATGTTTAGAGCAAAATTATTTTATGAAGTGTTATTGTTTATGGAAAAAGAAAATGTTGATTTTTGACAGTTACCCATCATTGGCTCAGTTTTATAAATTTATAGAAAGTCAGTCAAGAAAGCCTAATCACTTCAGTTATGTCAGAAAATCTTCTGCATCTAAAGCTTATTTCTGCCTCAGAATACATTCTGCTAAAAATGGACTTTTCTAATTATCTCTGGTTATCTCAGACCTCCCACTAATATCTTCCGTGCATCTGCTCATCACGCTGCACAGATTTTCACATCCGTGCTTTGAGTCCCAGACCCAATGGCTTGCTTTCTCACTCCCCTCCCCCATAACTATAGTAAGTTTAAAAATAAATGAATAAAAGAAATAATTCTTTAAAAATATATGATCTTTCTCCAATTCCTTAATCTAATTGTTATTGATAATGAATCAGGAGTATCAATTTATCAATCGTTTACTTGTGAGAAATAACCAAAAGGATTATATCAATGTACATATGCTAAGGGAAGCTGGCAGGTGGCATGGTGATTAAGAAGCTGTACTCCCACATGGCTGACTGTGGTTTGCTTTCTTAGACATCCTCTCTCTCTCTCTCTCTCTCTCTCTCTAGTCAAGTTGAAGAATAATAATAAATAGAATTAAATAAATTTTTTTTAAAAGAGAGACTTCCTGCTATAGGGTGCATGTGCTCACCAGACAGACAGAAAGCGAGAAGTCACTCCTCAGGGGTGATGGCTATGGAACAATCCCATCTCCTCTATTCTCTTGGGATTTGGGGCCCATACACACACACATATGCCAGGTGTGAGTTTTAAGCTTCTGGATTCAGGACTTGAACTACAGTCAACTATGTTGGAGTCCAGCAATGTAACCATTACACCATCTGCTGATCCCAATAATTCCTTTTTAAAGAATTTTAAGAACTCAATTTAATGTATTACTGTTATTTTTTAATTTGACCAGAGAGAGACAAGGGGAAAGTGAGAAAGCAAGCCACCAGGACTCAAACCATAGTTCATCATGCGGGAGTTCAGCACTTTAACCACCATGCCACCCGCTGGCGCCAATAAATAATTATAAAAAAAAAAAAAGAATTAAGGAAAGCATAATGTTTAGAGCAAAATTATTTTATGAAGTGTTATTGTTTATGGAAAAAGAAAATGTTGATTTTTGACAGTTACCCATCATTGGCTCAGTTTTATAAATTTATAGAAAGTCAGTCAAGAAAGCCTAATCACTTCAGTTATGTCAGAAAATCTTCTGCATCTAAAGCTTATTTCTGCCTCAGAATACATTCTGCTAAAAATGGACTTTTCTAATTATCTCTGGTTATCTCAGACCTCCCACTAATATCTTCCGTGCATCTGCTCATCACGCTGCACAGATTTTCACATGGGATTAGCAGTCTAAACAACTTCGCTATTAACTACACCAGCGGTGTTCATTGTGGTTGCTTCTTTATTTTTGGCTTAGTAAATGTTTTATTGTTTTATATCATTTGGTATCAGTAACAATCTGGAATCTGCATCTCAAGCACATAATTTTTTTTTTTATTTTTAAGAAGAGCCATACATAAACCATTAATCATAATAAATACCCAAAGAAACTTATTTGTACTGTACTTATCCCAATTACTGGAATATGTTAAAGAAGCCATTTAAGTCCTCATAAAACATTTATATCTATGCATATATAATTTAAAATATATACATACTTATTTAATAATATAGATAGGCATTTATATTTAGAGAACGTTTTATAGAATTTGGAAAAGAAAGCCAACAAACTGTTTTTCTATAGCATAAGAATACATAACTTCCGGGGCTGGCAGTTGGCATGGTGGTTAAGGGCTCTGGACTCCCATGTAGGCAACCGTGGTTCAAGTCCCAGACCTGGCGTCCTGTCTTTTCATTTTCTCCCTCTCTCTCTCTCTCACTCACTCTGTCCCTCTCTGGTCAAATTTTAAAATAAATAAATAAATAAAGTTAAATAAGATAATAATTAAAGAAATACATAATTTCCCTCAAGAATTGAAAGATAGGGTTGGCCCCATTGCTCACAGTTACGGGAGCCAGATCCCACACAGCCTCCCATGATTTGAATATTGGCCCTGGCAGTGCTGGACACATGTCCCTCTGTCCCTAAAATTCTGATGGGATGGAAAAATGGAAGAAAAAGGATTGTGGTATGACCATATCCCATTGGGAGGTGATACTTCAATTTCTCTCTCTCTCTCTCTCTCTCTCTCTCT